ATTTTCTCGAAAACAAAGCCTCGAACGAAAAATTTTTATTCTATATTTTCGACTTCTTTTTTCGCGTAGAATCACCCCCTTTCCGCTTGTACCACCAGTTACCAACCACCCTGTATATATTGAAGTAATAATTTCAAGCTGATTCTTCTAGTATTGTTATTGTATCTTCCGCTTTTTGCTTCGATTCTTAAACGAAGATTAAAGATTAGCCTCACTAGGATACTCAACTGTCTACTGAATATCCTTCCAACATTCATCAGCATTGTTATACCTGCAATGTCCTAATATATCACACTGCGACACCGTTGCCACATTTCGTCCGAAGATGCCCGAGTAATCTGCACAGATTCAATCTCGACGATAATACGTCCAAAACTTCGACTCGAAACGTAGCCCTTCGCGGCACAGTTTACTGTTTCCAGTCCCACACATCGGACCTATAGCGTCGATATATACAGCAAATCGTGCAATTGAGGAAGACAATGTGTCATCCAAATAAGTTGTATTTTGAATTTAATTTTTTAAAGGCTACGCTTGTGTTAATACGATAATTTATTTGCAATCTTTGTTTCAATTAATATACATGATATTATGAAATTCCGTTTTTAACGTTCCATTATATTGTGAATTTGAAACTACATCGCAAAAGATTTGTTCGTTCTAAAAATTATAAATAGAAGAGAAGCTTCCATATATCATTGCCAATAAAAAATTTGAAACATCGATGGAATTACACATGGTACAAGTAATCGGTAGCCGAACAAGCCACGTTAACAGACAACTACATGGTCATCTCTCTTCACCATCCTGTGCAGCGATCGCGTCCAATTAATCGCGGAACAAAACGCGGCCAAATAGTCCAATTAACGCGTTCAATTAATCGAACGACTAAACGCAAAACTATTCAGCCTCCTGGTCGTTCGAACGAATGGTTTTGGTAAACACGATTGTACGTGCGAGACAGGACAGTCACAAGAATTTGCCAGGCAAACGAACAATTGCACAGAGAAGATATCGTTGGTTTTCGATGTTGACGCACGAAAAGACAAGCTGGCGATGAATTCGAGGCCGAGAAAGATAAAAAACTTAGTCGATTTGTTTCTCTTTTACCGGCGATCGATCATTACTATCGACATCCTAATAGTGAGCTTGGACACCGAGCAGCACCGTCGGATGTTTCTTTTTGGCGTCGTAATTTACGAAGCACTAGCATGGGAATAAAGTTATCGTCGAGACAAGGAATTGTTTGTGATTAACAGGCAGCAAGAAGCATACATTTCTGCTCGTAGTAGCCTTGCTGATCTTATACAAATTGTGATATTTGTAGAGATTTATAAGAAAACGATTAATCAGTTGAATACATTTACGAAAGGTAATGATTTATTGTGGAATATACAACGATGTTCATAATGTTATAGAAACATGATATTG